AGAAACATTAACAGTAATCATTTTAAAAACACTCGCATCTTTTGCCTGCATGTTTAGCTGTAAATAATGCTAGAATGTATAAAAGCTTTAAAGTAAAAATGTAATAAATACTTTTTATTATGTTTCATAAAGGATAAAAAATGCTTTGAGCTATGTCTACGTGTTATCTATACATGCAGACGTATAGAGATGGATGACTCCCATTCTCCTTACTACTAACCAGATTGGGGACCTGGGAGGACAGCTTGAAAAAGGCTCTGAAGTCAATTCTGTACTATACATGCTTCATAAAAGATGAATATAAATGCATTAGTTAGACACGGTGAGCTAAATTAGAAGGTCAGGCAGGGCTGGGAGGGCTGAAAAATCACACAACCAATGAGTGTAATTACTCTTTTTTAAGTCTATTAAGTGGTGTTGTTCTATCAAGGCTCAGGGGTATAGGACATGAAGAACAAGATAAAGTAATGTGTATTTATTACTCCCACTGGATCAATTTACCAGATATTTTCAGCTCCATAAAGCAAAATACACAAATGCAGCCTTTGTTACTTTTCCCAAACTGCTTTATTTTCTCTAAAAGAGGGGCTGGCTCTTGGAGAAAAGACTCATTTGCCCTGAGAAGGTCCCCAGGCCAAGCCTTCTCAGTAAGGAAATGAGAGAAAGCTGGTGAGAATCTACATAAGGTTGGGGGCCAGGTGTCTGCAGAGGAGACACCTCAAGGCAGAATTATTGGGGTCTTCATATCTGCAGGAGAACTGGGAACTCAACATAGTGAAGACAGTGAGGCTACTGACCCTGAGGGCCTGAGTTTGAATCGTAGTTTTCCCACTTGCTAGCTGTGACGTCGTAGCAAGTCATTCAGACCTCTGGGCACTCTAACTCCTCATTTGTAAAATGGGGAACACCCATGGTGAGAGGATTAGTGGCCCCCATTTACTGGAGTCTCACTAGATGCCAGGGATGCCTCTTGGCATAAATTATCTCATTAACACCTAACAACAACGCCGTGAGGCAGCTGCTTTACAGAGGAGAAACCTGAAGCGTGGGAGGTTGGGTCGTGTGCACCAAGTAGTGGATCTCGTTTCCAAAACGCACATCTTTCTGACTTGAGAGCCCACTCTCTTGGCCTCTGTGCTCTTCGAAAACCTTAATAATGCAGTGCTGGGCTCACAGTAGGCATAAAGTAAACATTCCTTGCTTCCTAGGGTTCACAGCTGACACGCCTGACGCCAGCTAAACTCAGGGTGTGCTCTCACTGCCTTAGGGCTAAGGCTCACTGACCACTCATGAAGGCAACTAACATACTGCAAGGGGACGGAGATACCTCTGACCTTGAACACAGAGAGCGCTCCTTGCTCAGTGTATCCGGATTGCATCACTGCAGCCATCAGCATCTCAGAATTTCTGATCGACCACGTTCCCCATCCCCTCCACCTCTAAATTACAAGAAGAGTCAACCTTGACCCCAAAGTTGGTCACATGTTCCTCCCCTTCCTGCCAGGATCCAGAGAGAAAGGCGAAACTGTATGAAACAGAACAGAATGCTGTGATTTAAAAACCTTAGCCTGCCCTTTTCTCCCTGTGTATATGAAAAAGGAAACCAAAAAACATCTGGGGTTAGCATAATTACAGTATTTTAAATTTGTGTGTACAGCAACTATCACTGATGGTGACTTTCAGGGACAAAATAATTTACAGAGCAGGATTCCGCCTGCTCCCGTTTTCCTATTTGGTAAATGGGAAAGATGTCTGCTGCCCCAGCTTCTCTCGCAGGAGGGACTCCAATAAAACAAAGCACGTCCAAATTTTTTTGAAAAAGAACAAGCCTGTATACAAAGGCATATTATTATGGAAAGCTGTCTGCTTGGTCTTTGGAGCAGTTTCATTTGACAGAATATGTGGGTGGTTGTATGAATCTAGCTTTGTCTATTCACAAACACATGGGTTTAATAAAGAGGAGTTTGTTTTTTAAGGTGTGTGGTCCATAGCTCACTGAAACACTCCTGTTTGACAAACACTGACCATGATCCTAAGAAAGGCGCAGCCCATTTTTATGCCCCTAACAATGGACAGCAGGAGTATAAATCTCCCCAGTCCACAGGAATACCTTGTGCTGGCTCCATCCGCCACTTCCTGACCCTGCCCTTGAACTCTCTCCACTTTAACATTCAAAGCCAAGAGGACAGCCACTTGGCTCTGAGTCACACTGAGAGCTTCCTGGGGTGGGCTCTGGCCAGGCCTTGCACGATCAAGTGGCTAGATGCAAGCCGTGGAGTGTTTCCTTAACACACAAATCCATTGTGTCCTTGATTACTCTTTCCAAACCCAGGAAACAAGGGTTGGGAATTTTACCATCAGGGACAAAGTGACACGTGCCTATGCTATTTGTTCAACATTTCTGAACATAACATGCAACCATAAAAGTGTTTTCAAAAGTAAGTATGCAAACTCAACCCTAGATTCCATTTCTCTCCTTTCCTTTCTAATCAGAAAAAGGACTGTCTGGTTTCTGTAGACCTCAACCATTAAACCAGATTTGTCTTCTAGTTCTGTTACCCAGGCTGGAGTGCAGTGGTGGGTATGTCTCACTGCAGCCTTGACCTCCTAGGCTTAAGCAGTCCTCCCACCTCAGCCTCCCAAGTAGCTGGGACTACATGCACACACCACCATACCTGGCTAACTTTTTTCATTTTGCAGAGATAGGGTCTTGTGATGGTGCCCAGGCTAGTATCGAATTCCTGGCCTCAAGCAATTCTCCCACCTCTGCTTCCCAAATTGCTGGGAATACTGGCATAAGCCACGGCTGACTAAGTATTTTTAAAGTGGCAACTCTGGGCCAGATGCTATGCCAAGGACACCCATGAGATGACTTCTCTTCATCCTTACATGATCCTATGATCCCCTATGAGCTAGCATGATTAATTATCCCCATTTTATCGATGAAGAAACTGAGGCACAGAGGAGAAATCACATGTTCAACTGCTCACTAGGATTAGGATTTCCTGTTCTGCCGAGATTGGGTGGAAGAGCTCTCAGAAGCAAGGGTCCTATTGTTACTCAACTGGCAAATCATCATAGCTACCTTTTGTTAGCTCTAAATAAGTCATTGAAATGTAACTTGAAAAGGTACACCATAGCACCGTCCCCATTTAACAGATGAAGACACTGAGGCACAGAGAGGTAAACAATTTTGACCTAGGTTGCATAGCTAGAAAGTGGCCTATGTCTGAATTCTACCTTGTCCAACCTGACTCCCCTCAATACCTCCAGTGGACTCAAGAGATCAAATGGTAAAGCAAGTGCTAAAGTGAATACAGTGCCCAAAGGGAACAATGGGAAGAATCTGGCATGGTACCCCTGCCTTTGTTCTAACACTAAGACAGCTAAGGCACCTACAATTAGTCAGACCCACATCATTTATATCATCGTGCTATAAAATTACCAGTTGTCCCATAGGAAATTCATGGGACCATGTTCTTGCTAGACAGAGGAACCTAATGGTAAATCTCTCCATAGACCATCTATGCCATGGGTGGAGACTGCTGTTTATTATTATATTATTTAATCTACTAAATAATAACCTGTAGATGATGTAATTGCTTACCAAGAATAAATTGGGTTGGAAAAGGAAAGGGAAGGACAGCACTTCAGTGGAAGTGAGGTTGTTCTGGGAAATTGAAGGTTGAAACTGAAGGCATCATCTCTGAAAACTGAAGGTGTTTTCCCCCCTCAGTTAAGATGGAGGACACATGCCCTTGCTCATCACAGTCCTTCCTCTCTTGGAGCAGTTAGCACCCCTCCTCCCCATGCGCCTCACATCTGTGTAGTGACCTGAGGGGTAGGTTTCTCCCGGACAGGGCCAGTTCTGACAGGTGGCCCTGCCTACAAAGGCAGCCAGCACACAGATAGGATTTGATGACGAACTGGTCCCCCAAGGAGGTTCACCGAGCTAAGAAGGATGGCAACTTCATTTTCACAAGGGTTTTACAAGGATACCTGGACCTGGAAATGGCATATCTCTAGATTTACTGTGGCAAGAAAGAGTCTTTGAAACTAATTCAATTTAATGTTAATAGTTTTTACCTGTGTAGTAAATGAAGCTTTTTGCTGTCAGTAAACAGTGAATGGAAGCTCAACGAATTCCGTACTTTGAGCTTCCTTCACATTTAACTGCCTGCTTCTGAGTCCTCACAGAATGTTGGTTGCACTTTTCTTTAATGTGCTATTTTTGGTTATGATTAGTTGTATTTGGGACTCTCTCCCATATACAGCCCAAGTTCCTGAGGTATAGGGATGGGGACATCCCAAACATTCACAACAGGTATGCAATAGTCAATAAAGGTCAGTTTCCTTCTGTCTGCACTGGCAGTTAATGATGTATTGGTGACATATATGACTCTGTCTTGAATTTTTGCTTAATGTCTCTCATATTTGTGCCTATTTTCCCAACTAGGTAGAATGCCTTAGGAGAAGAGAGGTTATCTTTGCCCAATCTCAGGATCTACCAATACATTCTGAGCTCTAACTATTCTCCTCTTGCCAGGACTAAGTACGGATCCTCATAGACAGAAATTTGGTGTTCCTTTTTCTTTTGAGAATTGGTAAGATGTAGCAATTAAGTAGCTCAGACTCTAGGGTCATGCTGCATAGGTTGGAATATCAGTTTAGCAATTTACATGCTATGTGACCTTGGGCAAATTATTATTTAATCTCTCTTTGCTTCATTATTTTCTCTTCTAATATAGGAATGGTAATAGTACCAACATCAGAGTGTTGTTGAGAGGATAAAATGGCATAGCAGATATAAAAGTAAGCACGGTGTTGTCTGGCACATAAAGTGCTTGCTACTTTTATTATTGCTTACCTTATGGCACCAAACACACAAAACACAAAAATATGAGTTGTTTACCTATGAACTAATTTTTATCAGCAGCAGAGTTTTCTGCAAATCACTCAAGTCCAAATTTTCAGAGACTACAAAAAGGCAGTATCCTCACCTTTGGCAAACGCTCAGGGTCACCAGGGTGTCGAGGAATGACCTTCTGTAACCTCTGGAAACCATAATCGATGGTGGGTTCGTTGAGCGCTGCAATAAAGAAGTCACACGATTAGTACATTTTCAAGAAATAAAGCAGAACATGGCTTGCAACACTAATGGTATGGAAATAACCAGGTAGTCCAAAGTTTAATTGATACTTTTGAATTGGATCAGAAGATGATTATGTGAATGATCTCTTTGCTGAACTTTCCACCATCTGCTTTATACCACGATGGGGAGTGACCTGCCCAAAAGAACATTAGGAGTAGGTCTTGAACAGTGTTTCTTTGGCCAAATTCTACACTCCTTATGTGATCATAAATAGAAAGTAAAATGGTATTTGATGTGAGATTTTTAGGATTCACTTTAATTCGGTTGCTCAGGTAAAAACACTCAAGGGCTTGCCTGGCAGTATCTATACCCTGTAAACAGCAGGAGAATTAAAAGTATCTGCTTAACTGCAAAATCCTTAGCGGACCTCAGGCGATGCAATATCTTAGCACAGTTAAGCATGCAAGAGGCTGGTGAGAGCAAGAGGAGAGTGAGTAGAAGTGAATCTTCCAGGTACGGAAAGCCAGTGCCACCCTTGCAAGAGTCTGCAAAGGGGATGGGTATTGAAAATGCCCTGATTCAAAACCCTCATATCTGAAATGATAGATCCTTTCACCAGCATTGATATTATTTGGAACCAGCGTCTGTGAAGTACTAGCTTAGAGCAGCCGAGTCTCCAAAAATAATCCTTGAAAAGACCAAAAGAAGAACAAACCTGGAATAACATTTGGAGACCATGGACCTTGCTGTGTGCACACTGACCATACACTCTTCAAAGCATGCCTAAATTAAACACAATATTAAGTGGACTCTGGTCTATCATTTTCAAAATTTCTCCCTGGTATATGAAATATCTTCAGGCTGTCTCGCGTGAAACAGTGGAGATGCAAAACATGGCAGCTCCTATGCATAGCCTCCACCTCCCTGTATTCTCTAAGTAAGGGGTAAGTGCGTGTTTTAAAAATTTCTTTTCTTTTTTAGTGTAATCAAAGTGTTCAACCACATATTTTCTCACATGCTGAATAAAAAAGACCGTCTGTGTAGTTCTGACATTTAGCTATACATTAAAAAACAAGTTGCCACACGCTTTACTTAAAATGCATTTCCATTAACCTAAATTTTAAAAGTAAGATTCATACTAGTACTAACTTTAAAAAAACTGTATTAAATTCAAATAGGTCCCAAGGCTAATGGAAGCAATTTGTATACCAACCCAAACTGACTGGCCCACTTTTCAAAATACAGGTATGATAATCTTGTGGTTTTAAAAGGACATTTAAATTGAAAGACTGTGAATTTAGTACATAATTATACCAATAGAACCCTTTAACTTGTCAACTTGTAAATCTAAAAGGCTATCAATCATTTCTAAAGAGGAAATAAACCTTAAAATTCCTTGATTGACAGTGCTTACTTTTTATGTAAGGAAAAAAAGAAAGGAAAAAAAGGCTGCATAAAGTGGCCAGAAATCCATTTACAAAAGTACATTGTTTTACATAGGTGAGTAAAAAGCCAATAATTACACCTCCAAAAGCACATAAATCAAAGTAAGTACTTTTTCTTCACTTGTATATTTTAAGTTAGATGAACTTTAGGTAACTTTTTATTAAAAAGATTTTTTCCCCAAATGCAATGCTTATTGAAGTCATTAATAGAGTGGCATTTTCATTTAAGATAATGTAATCATTTTTGCAAATATGAGATTTAGTCAACCCTCCCCCCCATTTCCAAACAGTAAACTTTCAACCTGTCTCTTGTGGAAATTAACTAAAATTACACCCAGGTGTACCAAATCTTTCTATCTATACTAGTATATGAGTTAGGACACAATATTTATTATTCTTTCCATTTTATGAATTTCTAAACCCTTGAGAAGAATTCTTTTTTCAAATTAGACTTGTAGAGAAAATGCCATAGAATTCTTTATTCAGGGAAGCTGTTACTTGTAAAATCCACGGTATTTAATCAAGAAATGCATGAGAGAGACAGGAATGAGCACCAAGGTTTATTTATCATATCCACCCTCCACCCACAATGCTACTTGCCAACAAAAATGTTTAACCATAAATAGTAGCTTTAGACAATTAAATGCACCATTTTAGTATCTGAAAACATAATTCAGCATCTTGAAAATTCTAATTCTTGGTTTTACTTTTCAGTCTAAGGTACCAATAAAATTGGAATTGTTGCCCCACCTCTTCAATCATTAGCATAATGAATTCCTATTGTATCTAGAAATTCATGGTTGTTAGCTGAATGACTGTCTGATGTATGGTGGGGAGGGATATGTTTCTCCGGCTATATGGCCAACTCACAGAGGAATGACCGACAATATCAGCAATTAAAAGAACCAATTCAAATATCATATGGAACTAATAGCTAAAGAGCTGAGGAGAAGTCATTCTGCTGTCACAGAGTGATTGAATTAGACATATTAAACTCATTATTCAAAGAAAAATAAGGATTTACTCCATGGACGTGCACTATGAGAGAGGAAATATTTAAAGAGTAAGGCAAGGGTTTTTAACTTATGTCCCATGTCTTTATGATTTGCTGTCTGTTCATAGTTTTAAACAAGTTAACCGGCCCTCAACACAGGTATTGAATATTACAATGGAATTGTCCAGTGCTGCAGACAAAGCTAACATTAAAGATGCTAGACAAAGCTCACTGTCCTAGATCCAAAGGAACCTGATGATTTATCTGATTGCACTGACTAGAGAAAAAAATTAAACCAGTTACTGAGTGCGGGGGAGCCATCTGACAAAGACTGTTATTTTAATTGCCCCCACAAAAAATATATTAAATATCTGGGAAGTGAGGGATGGCTAATTTAAGGCACCCCCATGGAATAGAATATGATGCAATCCTCAAAAGCAATGACATAGGAAAAAATATTTACTGATATATTGCTTGGTTAAAAAGTAGATTACAGGAGCATGTATACAATATAGTTACTTTTTTAAACAAGCATATATAGAATAAAGAAAATGTGTCTGTGTATAAACTGCCAAATAGTAGTTGTTTCTAAGTAGTGGGTCTTAAAGTGCTTTTCTTCCTGCTCTTTTTGCTGTTAATTTTTTAAATTTTCCACAATGAACATGTATTACTTTTATAATCAGAGAAAAAGGTTAAGAGCAAGAGATTGTTGCTGAGATGGAATCTGACCTGCTTGTATAAAGTAATGACATAAGAAACTATGCTTTAAAAGGGGTCTGTATACCCTTTAATAACCTTGCATAGGTTATTACAGACCATAAGAAAAATAAGTAGTATACTTTTGGCCAGTTGTATAAATATGTGACTATTCATAAACTCTCTGAAAATCAACAGAGAGGGTAACAGGGAGGAATCATAAAGAATGGTATATTTATTTCATCAGTGGGGGTAGTCATACCTTAGGGACATACATCTACTCTGCAAGAATGTAATATAAAGTTAATCCTTCAACAAAGTGACCTCATTGTACTCAAGCGCAGGGCTCAGGAGGCACCAGAAGAAATGGGACTAACCAATTTTTTTTCCCCTTAAACTTGGGACAATTCCGAGAATCTGGTAGAGCAAGAAAAAAAAAAAAAAAACTTAATTGGACACAATTAACCACAAATAAAGAAGCATGAGCATCTTAGATTGAAAAAAGAAAAACAGATGAAGCTGTAAACTGCAAGAGGAATGGAATGATGAGAACAGCTTGTGTGGCCCTGCTTCCAAATACCCAGTCCACACTCTCTGAAAAGGGTTTGAGAGGGCGTCACCCTAAACCAGTTAGGAACGGTAACTGAATGAGGAAGGATCGTAGGTTTAGAAGAATCCGTTATCCCAAATAGAAAAGCCTCAATGTTTATATCATGAGAATAAAATGGGGCCAATGTATGCATTTTAAAAATTCCAGAAGACATTATACATTTATTCAGCAATCATTTTTAGCGCTTACCATATGCTCAAGGAGAGGGGGTGGCATTCGTAGGAAGGAACTGTTTAGTGTCACAATACCATCAGCCCTTAAAAACAAACTTTCTGAAAGGTACACATAATCCAACCCCCAAAGACAAATGAAATCCTCTACTTGCAGAGCTGGGACACAGCTCAGCATCTCACAGTCGGGTCCTCCTCATAGTCACCACCTCTGCTCTTCTTTCTGACAAAGTCTAGGGTCACAATACACTTAATGGGGATACATTAAAGAACCATCAGGTTATTGAGGGGCCACAGCAATTGAATTCAAGCTGTCTTCCCCTGACCCCTTCAAACTCATTTACTGGTAGATATTTACTGAACCCACGTAGTAGGACTTTGTGGGGTTGTATACAGCTTATGGAGGGGTACATCTGAAACATTTCCTGCAAATGCATAAAAAGCAAGATCAAATGCTCCTGAACAGGAGAGCAAGCTTGCAGGGTGATGTCTCAGCTGAGATTTCAGAAGGATCCCCTTACCCACAGCTATGATGTGATATTGCGGAATGGATATTGGTGGGATGTATCTGTTGTATGCACCAGGATGCCATTTCAACTGTATCAACATTACTACTTTTGAAAAAAAAAGTTTATGAAATGGTTAAAAGAATCAAACCATTTTATTCTGGCTTTATGTTGGGACTGCTTATAGAGGGGCTTTAGCTTCCTTCCGGATCTCATCATCTAGAGGGCTTTAGGTTCCTTCTAGATCTCATCATCTCAGACCCCTAAAGGCAACCAGTAACTTTTATTCCAACCAGTCTCTCAGCCTTTCCCTTTATGGGCTTCAATCCACGTGGTGGTCAAGACAGAACAGCTCTGGTTCTACAAAGTTACAATCTCTAATGTCCAAATGTGCATGCAGCATGAAATGCTATACGCAAAGAAAATCGAGATAACACAACAATTTTTTATGCACTCATACTAATCACAAGCTTTCCTCTTCATGAGTGAATTCTAACCAAATATACATGTGGCCTTTTTATGCCTGTAGTCTCTTTTTCTTTTTTTAAAGAAATCCTCTTCACAAACACATCAAAT